CTGTTCCTACGGGGGACGCGGGGCCGGGTGGGGGGGTCTCCCGTCCCGCTGGGCGACCCGTGACCCGCCCGAGCGTGGGGAGCAAAAATGGTGTTGCTGCCCCAGTCGTGCAAGGAAGGTCAGTGGTTGCTTTCGTCCCCGTTCCTGGAGAGTCTTAATTTCGCCTTCCCGCCTGGGTCAGTTTGGAAGCCGCGTTTGTGGCGTTGAGACGGGAGCACCTTTCTGTTAGCCCTATCAGTCGTAGTAGGGATAGTAGCAGAGTCGCTAGTAGATAGGGATTGGCGGGGGGAGGGGGGAGGTGGTAGGCAAGCTTTGCGCCCGCGCGCGTGTTCCGTCTGCAAATCCTACGCGTTTAAAGTCTCCCGATCGCTGGGTCTTTAAGAAGGAGTTGGCCCCTCTAGAATATAAGAGATTCTACTATAGGATAGGGTTGGCACCTGTAGAATAGAGTCTACTATAGGATAGGGTTGGCACCTGTAGAATAGAAAAGATTCTACTAAAGGATAGAGTTGGCACCTATAGAATAGAATAGATTCTATTATAGGATAGAGTTGGCACCTGTAGAATAGAATATAGGATAGGGTTAGCACTTGTAGAATAGAATAGGTTCTACTATAGAATAGAGTTGGCACCTCTAGAATAGAACAGATTCTACAATAGGGTAGNTTCTACTATAGGATAGAGTTGGCACCTCTAGAACAGAATAGATTCTATTATAGGATAGAGTTGGCACCTCTAGAATAGAATAGATTCTACTATAGGATAGAGTTGGCACCTGTAGAATAGAAAAGATTCTACTAAAGGATAGAGTTGGCACCTATAGAATAGAATAGATTCTATTATAGGATAGAGTTGGCACCTGTAGTATAGAATATAGGATAGGGTTAGCACTTGTAGAATAGAATAGGTTCTACTATAGAATAGAGTTGGCACCTCTAGAATAGAACAGATTCTACAATAGGGTAGAGTTGGCACCTCTAGAATAGAATAGATTCTACTATAGGATAGGATTGGCACCTGTAGAATAGAATAGATCCTACTATAGGATAGAGCTGGCACCTGTAGAATAGAATAGGTTCTACTATAGGATAGAGTTGGCATCTGTAGAATAGAATATATTCTACTATAGGATAGAGTTGGCACCTCTAGAATAGAATATAGGATAGGGTTAGCACCTGTAGAATAGAATAGGTTCTACTATAGGATAGAGTTGGCACCTGTAGAATAGAATAGGTTCTACAATAGGGTAGAGTTGGCACCTCTAGAATAGAATAGATTCTACTATAGGATAGAGTTGGCACCTCTAGAACAGAATAGATTCTACAACAGGGTAGAGTTGGCACCTGTAGAATAGAATAGGTTCTACTATAGGATAGAGTTGGCATCTGTAGAATAGAATAGATTCTACTATAGGATAGAGTTGGCACCTGTAGAATAGAATAGATTCTATTATAGGATAGAGTTGGCACCTGTAGAATAGAATATAGGAAAGGGTTAGCACCAGTAGAATAGAATAGGTTCTACTATAGGATAGAGTTGGCACCTCTAGAATAGAATAGAGTCTACTATAGTATAGAGTTGGCACCTCTAGAATAGAATATAGGATAGGGTTGGCACCTGTAGAATAGAATAGATTCTACAATAGGGTAGAGTTGGCACCTCTAGAATAGAATAGATTCTACTATAGGATAGAGTTGGCACCTCTAGAATAGAATATAGGATAGGGTTAGCATCTGTAGAATAGAATAGGTTCTACTATAGGATAGAGTTGGCACCTGTAGAATAGAATAGATTCTACTATAGGATAGGGTTGGCACCTGTAGAATAGAATAGATTCTACTATAGGATAGGATTGGCACCTGTAGAATAGAATAGATTCTACTATAGGATAGGGTTGGCACCTGTAGAATAGAATAGATCCTACTATAGGATAGGGTTGGCACCTGTAGAATAGAATAAATTCTACTATAGGATAGGGTTGCCACGTGTAGAACAGAATAGATTCTACTATAGGATAGAGTTGGCACCTCTAGAATAGAATATAGGATAGGGTTGGCACCTGTAGAATAGAATAGATTCTACAATAGGGTAGAGTTGGCACCTGTAGAATAGAATAGAGTCTACTATAGGATAGGGTTGGCACCTCTAGAATAGAATATAGGATAGGGTTGGCACCTCTAGAATAGAATAGATGCTACAATAGGGTAGAGTTGGCACCTGTAGAATAGAATAGAGTCTACTATAGGATAGGGTTGGCACCTGTAGAATAGAATAGATGCTACTAGAGGATAGAGTTGGCACCTCGATACTCTCAACAGGTAAGGGTGGTGCAGGCAGAACATAAGCAGACTGAATGGAGCAGCTTTCTTAAGAGGATCGCAACAGCTAGGGACGGACGAAATGATCAACTACAAATTGATTTAGTTTAAAGCTGAAGGGCTTTAAACCAACATTGAAAGGGGAGGGTGACCAATCTTTAGGATCTTTAGGACCAAATCCAAAGCATAAGCATGAGGAAGTGTGAGAAGGAAAGGGAACTAGGTCTAGGACTGTAAAGGACTAGGTCTAGGACAGGGGTATCAAACTCAATTTCACTGAGGGCCGCATAAGCATTGCGGTTGCCCTCGAGGGGGGCAGGGGTGTGTGGCCAGGGTTGGTGCAGCCTACTGTTGGGCGTGGATGGAGTGGGTGTGGCCTACTGGGTGGGTGTGGCCAGCTCTACATCGTTCGCATCAAGGGTGCCTGTGGGGGCCTGGGCAGGAGTGGGACAGATCTGAGGGTCTCTGGCAGAAGGGGGTGGGCACGGGGCAAGCGCCAAGGCATGGTCCATTTCTTCATTCCTCACAAAGGGTGACACCTCCCCAGCATGCACCCAGGGGGCGGGGCCGACACGGCAGGGGCTGGTTCCTCGCTGTTTCCAGACAGCCTTGTGGAGCTAAGACTGAATGCGTTTCAGCGTAGATGGCCATCACAAAATTGTACATTGGCTCCCGGCCGGCCTAGGCCAGGGCCAAGGCAGCGGGGGCCGTTCCCTCACTGTTTCCAGGATGGCTTCACGGGCCACATGAAACCACTTCGCAGGTCGCATCCGGCCCCCGGGCCTTGTGTTTGACATGTCTGGTCTAGGATGTCCGCACTAATGCTCAAAGTATGAGGAATAAAAACAGGGTGAACCTGGAGATCCTAGTACAGGAGGACAGTATGATTATAGTTGCCATTACCAAAAGTTGGGATGAAACTCGTGACTGGAATGTACTGCTGGAAGTATATAAACTGTTCAAAAGAAACAGACGTAACAGAAGAGATGGCGGGGTTGCATTATATGTAAGAAACGAGTACACCTCTACAGAAATGCATAAAACCGAGGGTGAACACCTTCTTGGATGCATAGGGGTTAATATAAAAGAAAAAAAAAGAAATGACATTGCCGTAGGTGTATACTATAGGTCAGTGATGGCGAACTTTTAGAGACCACGTGTGCTGGGGTGATGGCGCGTGCCCACAGAGAGGGCTCTGCGTGCCGCCTCTGGCACGCGTGCCATAGGTTCGCCACCACTGCTATAGGTCAGTGATGGCGAACCTTTCAGAGACCGAGTGCCCAAACGGCAACCCAAAACCCACTGTGGTGCCCTCGGGGGGGCGGGGGCATGGCCCACTGGGTGGGCGTGGTTGCAATGGTCACGGCAGACTGGGTTAGTGTGGCTGGGGCCAGGGCTGCGGGGGCCAGTCCCTCGCCATCTCCGGGGCATCCCGGGGGGGCAACGCCGCTTGCTCACTCACTTCCTGCCCTGTCGTTTCCAAACGCCACGTGCTCGCTACTCTGGTGAACTCTGCTGGGGCAACGGCGTGCGTGCCCACAGAGTGGGCTCTGAGTGCCACCTCTGGCACGCGTGCCATAGGTTCGCCACCACTTCTATAGGTCACCCAACTAAGGAGAAGAAATAGTGAACATTCTGCCAATGAGCTAAACAAAGCGTACAGGAAATGCACCACAGTAATAATGGGTGACTTTAACTAACCTGACATCAACTGGGAGATCAAACTCTGCAGCAACTGGGAGATCAAACAGGTAGTCCTGATCAGCCTAGCTGACAACTTTGTTATTCCAGAAGATAGAGGAAGGAACTGGAGGATCCGCTGTTCTGGACTTAATTCTCACTCATAGAGATGAAATGATAGAGAGGGTTGAAGTTGCGGGAATTAATGGTCATTAAGCAAGAACTTATTTTCTTCCGTCAAGTGTTCGGTTGGTGACATGGGTTAATTTTTTGGGTTTTTTTTTAATTCTCTTGGTCTAGTTTTCTCCCTTATGCACTGCAGCTCTGGAGTGCAGCTGTACGCAGTGGTGGGATTCAAATATGTGAACAACCGGTTCTCTGTGTGGATGCCGCTTTCGGAAGTCCGTTCTGGGCCTGGGCAACAGAAAAAATTAGCTACTGGTTCTGCCGAAGTGGCGCAAACCGGCTGAATCCCACCTCTGGCTGTACATCATCTCGGTGTCGTAGTAAGCGAGCTGACCTGATGGAAGGAGAGTTTGTTTTGCTAAGCCTGTGGATCAGCTCTGCAAGCATTTTCTAACGCAGCGGTTCTCAACCTATGGGTCGCGACCCCATTTGGGGTCGATCGACCATTTCACGGGGGTCGCCAAGCAAGGCTGTCCGTCATTTTTTTTCCCCTTTTCCGGCGGGTGCCTTACCTCCCTTGAGCTGGGCCAGCTGGTGGTCGGCCTGCTCCGTCTCTGCCGTTTGCCAGCTACGCCTCGGCCGGCGCAGGGGCGGAACCACGCATGCGTGGTGCTCCCGGGCAGGGAAAGTCCTCGACTTACGACCAGTTGGGTAGTCCTCGACTTACGACCGGTTTAGTCCTCGACTTACGACCCGTTTAGTCCTCGACTTACGACCGGTTGGGGTCGTGGCATTAAAAAGGTTGAGAACGTTCTGTTCTAACGTATGTGGATCAGGTGCTCAGCCCATTGTTTTATTGTTTTTTTAGGGGAAGTGTTTCCTTTGGCTTGCCCCAACGCTCAACATGCGTGGTGCCAGATCCTCAACGTGTCGGAGCTACAAGCTTCTTTCTTTGCCTATTCGGGAAGATACCCCAACGAAACAATGCTGAATGTTTCCACTCCCCAAGGAAGCAAATACAGTTTATATCTGGGTGTCGCATTGGCCATCGGCTCCAGTATCTTTGTGGGATCCAGCTTTATATTGAAGAAAAAGGGCCTTTTGCGAATGGCGGCAAAAGGCTTCACGAGAGCTGGTAAAAAAATAAAATAAAAAATAGATACGACTTTTAATTTTTATTTTTATTTTTTAAAATTTGGAATCCAATCTCAAAAGCATAGCTTGTCTATCTCCAGGGTGTATTTAATATGAGGCAATTCTGTTTTTTAGGTGGTTTTTTTCCCCTGTCCTATTGTAGGAGGTCTGGGAAGAGTGGGGCTTTTTGACAGTAAATAATTAATAAAGAAGAATTGTTGGGGGGAAAAAATTACATCCACGGTGTTTTGACCTTTACACGTGTACAAAACTTTTCAACCAACAAACGACTTAAATTAGTTGAAACAAATTCAATTACTCTGTTGACTAAGTTTAATAACTTAGTTCCTATTTAACTCACACCCATAATATGATAGGTTTATTTGCTTTTTATTCCATCTTCGTTATTGTTTATAAATAACTCATTCTCTTTTGCAAACATTCCTAAAAACCCTTTTCCTGTGAGGTGAGTTGGGCTGAAAGTAACTGGCCCAAACTCACCCAGCTGGCTTTCATGCCTAAGACAGGTCTAGAACTGACAGTATCCTGCTTTCTAGGCCAGGGCCTTAATTTCTTCATAAGTGATCTGGATGAGGGAATAGAAGGAGCACTCATCAAATTTGCAGATGACACCAAACTGGGGGAACTGGAAGATAGATTGAAGATTCAGAAAGATCTTGATTGGGCTCTAGCCAACAAGATGCAGTTCAGTGGTGAGAAAAGCCAGATACTTAGACAGGAAAAAGTACAGAGAAAGAGCACAGAGAAGAGCAACAAAGATGATCAGGGGACTGGAGGCTAAAACATACAAGGAACGGTTGCTGGAATTGGGTATGTCTAGTTTAACGAAGAAAAGGACGAGGGGGTGACATGATAGCAGAGTTCCAATATTTCAGGGGCTGCCACAAAGAAGAGGGAGTCAAGCTATTCTCCAGAGCACCTCAAGGCAGGACAAGAAGCAACAGATGGAAACTAATCAAGGAGAGAAGCAACCTAGAACTAAGGAGAAACTTCCTGACAGCTAGAACAATTAGCCAGTGGAACAACCTGCTTCCAGAAGCGGTGAATGCTCCAACACTGGAAGTTTTTAAGAAGAGACTGGACAGCCATTTGTCCAAAATGCTATAGGGTTTCCTGCCTGAGCAGGGAGCTGGACTAGATGACCTCCAAGATCCCTTCCAACTCTGTTGTTGTTGTTATTATTATTATTATTATTATTATTATTATTATTATTATTATTATTATTATTATTATTATTATTGTTATTGTTGTTGTTGTTGTTGTTGTTGTTGTTGTTATAAAAACAAATGCACATGTATAGACTAGGTAGTACATGGCCCTACAATAGTAACTAGTAGTGAGAAATATCTAGGTATCCTAGTGCACGGGTCCCCAACCCCCGGTCCATGGACCACAACGATGCACGGCATTCCAGAAACCGGGCGGCACAAGCAAACGAAGCCCCATATGCAGGATGCAGGCAGTACACGAAACCACGCCCCCTCCGATCCACAGAAAAACCTTTCTCCACGGAACCAGTCCCTGGTATCCAAAAGGTTGGGAGCCGCTATCCTAATGGACCACCCCTTAGGTATCAGACAGCAGTTTGCAATGCCAAAAAGGTCATTGCAGTCCACAGAGGGATAGCATCAAGATCACAAGAAGTGATGGTACTGCTTTATACTGGCCTCGTGAGGCCACCCTTGGAATACTGCATCCAGTTTTGGTCACCATGATACAAAAAAGACGCCGAAGCCCTAGAAAAAGTGCAAATCCACTTGTCCGGGATACCCTAAGATCTCCTGCCTTGGGCAGAGGGGTTAGACTAGAAGGCCTTCAAGGGTCCCTTCCAGCCCAAAGCTCTATGGTTCTTATTATTAAAGAATTGTTGCCGATATAATTCTGCCTTTGGTTACAATGGAATAAGGATGACCCCAACAAAATTCTCCTTTGCAAGCAATATTGGAAAAAGAGTAGGTATTTGAATAGAAAGGTGAGTTGTAGGTTTTTCTTCTCAAAATGTTTCTTTTTTCCTGTTTCCTAGGAGAGGGGGGCTATTCTTATCTCAAAGAATGGCTATGGTGGGCAGGATTGCTTTCAAGTAAGTATTAAAGCTTCAAAACTTTTCATTTTATTTATATGTAGTATTTTTTGCACGCTTCTTGCTAAAAAAAAACCTGGCAGTATATTTGTTACTAGTTAGACTTCCTCTGCCTCAGTATTCCTGCAATATGAACGGAAAAAGCAGGTCCATGTCCATTTGTCAGAAATTCTTGTTGTGGAAGGGCTGCGGTGTGGGTGTTCTGTCCCAGCCTATGTGAGTCCTTGTTAACTCACAAGGACAAACCCCTCTTTTAACAAGTAGGCTGGAAATGCAGGAAAAACAAACCCCTTTTATAAATTAGGTACAGACCTGCAAAATGTCCCAAAAGCAAAGGCCAACAAAACACGATTCAAACGAAGAATTGTCCCGAGGCAAACAGAACACAATTCAAACGGAGAATTGTTCACAGGCAAGGCAAACAAAACAGGATTCCATGAAACTTGAGTCCTTCGCAAACAGTTGCCTTCAGCAACCAGCACCGCCCACACCTTCCCTTTTTATTATGCAGTGCCAAGGCGTGGCTTCTCAATGCCTTCTCCTCTTCCCTTGGAGTCGCCCCATTGCCTCCCTCTGTCCTGCTCTTGTTGCCTGTCTGCGCGATTGGAAGGGCCAGGCTCTTCATCAGATTGTAAGTCCGGGGGTTCATCAGAGCCTTCCTCTGACTCTGATGGCTCTCCAGGTCCCTCTGATTCCCCGGACTCAGCTGCCAGGTCCACTGGCTGGCATGGACTCACAACAGTGGGGTTTTTTGTGCTTGTATGGTCTGTGGCAGATCATTACTTAAATGCATGAGAAAAAGTCTGTTAAAAAAGCATTCTGGAAGTTCAACCTGCAATTAACAAGCTGCAGTGTGGTCAATGGGACAATGGACTCATCTCTTCTATCCCTCCCCCCCATGCAATGGCAGGTGTGTGATAGATGGAATACCTGAAATAACACACTTGCTTAGGAACTAAGCGTCAGATGTTGAATGCTGGCTGTTTCTTGGACAAATATCCACGTGTCACGTTTGCCATGCAGAATATCGGTGATTTTGTAGTAACAATCCAGTCTACGGGGATGTCAGCTTACCCTCAGAAGGGAACGATTAAGTCTCTTGTGTGGTAACTCATGATTTGCAATCAATGTGGATGTTTACGTATTTTAATTGCATAGCTAAACCATTCCAATGGAGTATTTGGAGGCCTCGGATCTTACTGCCCTGGGCAACCAGGTGGATGTGTCTACAGGAGGGAGAGCAGTTTTAGCTGCTTTTCCCTCTCTCCTATTTTTTGTTTTGTTTAAATTTCTTCTCGTTGCTTGGGGGGTGGAAGAAATAAGGCAGAAACAAATCAGTGATAGAAAACTAGGAGTAGATATATGCTGGCACTCCAGAACGTCTCCTCCCTGACGTTGAATTGATGGCTTTCTTGACAGCAACCCAGTTTCAGTAAGTGGCGGAAATGTAGGAGGATGAGACTATTGTGTTGTTGTTGTTATTATTATTATTATTATTATTATTATTATTATTATTATTATTATTATTATTATTATTATTATTATTATTCATCTCTCTGAGGCTCATCTTTGGGAAATGGCACCATCCTCGGGAAGCTGTATAAGGCAATCCGTTTTCAGTGTGCATCTCTGTACTCAGTTTGTGACTCAGCTACTATGTATAGATAAGGCAGATAAAAAGGTTTTTGTATTAGTTTAGAATTAGTAAACAGTTTCAGTAAAAAGGGAGTGCTGAAATATTATAGAACATGGTTTATATTGTGAGGGATGATCATGGGATGCCATTCTCTTCCTTTAACTTTTAATGAGGATTCTTTAGAAATGGATTGTTTCACTCTTTTTGTTTGTGCGGGTGGAGAGAGAGGGGGGGAAGGGAGGGAGAGGGAGGGAGGGNAGGGAGAAGGGGAGGGAGAGGGAGAGAGAGGGAGGGGGAGGGAGGAAGGAAGGGAGGGAGGAAGAGAGAGGGAGGGGGAGAGAGAGGGAGAGAGAGAGAGAGAGAGGGAGAGAGAGAGATGCATGCTTTAATCGTTTCCAAATGTATATTGCATCTTATATGGGCAGGCAGAAATTACTGATAAAATTCCAAAAAGATACTCATATTTTTTAGAAAGGTTATATCTCTGGAGTAATTCTAATTTGCTCTCGTTTTTGGCAGTGGGAATAGGAGAAGCTGCGAACTTCGCTGCCTACGCTTTTGCTCCTGCAACTCTAGTCACCCCATTGGGGACACTAAGTGTCCTTATAAGGTGAGTACAATTAATACACAGTACAATTGCTTTGCCAACTGGGATTACAGTTCAATCAGTGGCTCAACGGGACTGTAAATTGCAGGTTCTCATGCTCCTATTTTAGCTAAACCATGTCCATATTGTCTTTCTAAAACAGTATTTCCAAAATTTGGCAACTTTAGGATGTGTGACTTTCAACTTCCCAATTGCCCCACAGCCAGCCAAAAACACTGAAGAGTCCAAAATGACAACGTACCACAGTCCATATATGTTAGAATTCTGCAATATAAAGAGTTTTGGACTGTGCATAAATACACAGCACTGCCCATAACTTGTGTTCCTGCAAAAATATATGTTTTTTTCCTAATATGTGATTCTTTTAATATATACAGGATTTGAACTGAGAATCTGGCCTTGACAATTACATTAGTCAAGTACAGTAACAAACTAGGTTTGTAAAGGCAGTTGCATATAGATACACAATTTACATACTCTTTGGCTGTTTGGGGGCCATCCTTGGGGTCTCAGTCAAAAGACCATGTACAGTTCTTTATTTATTTCTCTTTCAAAAGTCAGGAAGAGCAGTTGTAAAGCTTGCCAGAGTCACTACTAAACTGCTCATATGGTGATGTGTCTAAGACGATTACAAAATAATAATAATGTGCAAAAGTTGTCCATTTATAACACTGTTCTTGGTTCTTATTCATTCTAGCTGTTCAGCACTTCAGTTTCTACATTTGTTACATTCCTAAGGGTTCGACCTTTGCTTAATTTCTCCTTTTTTTGAAAATTCCAAACAGTGCAATATTGTCTTCCTATTTCTTGGATGAAAGGCTCAACATTCATGGAAAGCTGGGCTGTGTGTTAAGCATTCTGGGTTCCATAGTGATGGTGATCCATGCTCCTGAAGAGGAACAAATCACATCATTGGATGACATGGAAATAAAACTGAAAGATCCAGGTATGCTTACTAGAGAGCTATCATAGAATGTGATGACTCCCCCAGATGCCTCTCCATATGCTACTTCAGAGGAGGATGAGCCCATCCTGGGCATGTTAGGAGGGGAGGCAGCTGAGGGCTCTGAGCCAGGAATGGAAGGGTCTAGGCAGGGGAGCGACTGACGAACATCTGGCTGAGCTAGAGGAGAGGCACAGCTGCAGCTGGGAAGCCCAGTGGCTTTGGGTGGAGAGGCCACGCAGCTGGTCAGTGGAGAGGAAGAAGAACTGCTTCCTCCTCCCGATCTGAGAACACATAGGGCTGAGAGGAGGCAGCACAATGGAGGTCAGCCAGGCTACTTGCAAGGAGGCAGCCTCATCCCGCTTGATGGGCTGCACCAGGAAGCAGTTATTTAACTCAGCAAGGGGAGTGAAATGATGCGGGGAACAATGTATCTGTTTCCTTGCTGTGGATTTGCCTTGCCCTTGCGCTATAGACTAATACTGGCTTCTTTTGAGTAGCCTGTTGAACTCATTGGGGTGGGCTGGTGCTGGCAAAGGGAATTGTTGGGGAATACTAACTCAGGCTTGGAAGCCTTAATAAAGACTCCTAACACCCGAGGTACGTTTGTGTGAGAGCGGGACAGTACATAGAATGAGCCTCAGTTACGAAAGTGTTTCATCATAAATGTATTTAAATTAGGCTAGTATCTATTTATTTGCCCTATAAACAGATTTGGGATTTTGCGTGGTCTTTTCGTGTGTACAATGTTGCACCTGACATGGAGATGCTGAATGGAAATAGGCTAACACAGAAGGAGAAAGGGTTCTGCTTCCAGACTGTTCCCAGGCTCTCGACAACTGAAACATAGTGAAAATCAAATAACGGGATTTCCGGCATGGGATACAACTGTGCTATTTTTTCTTTCTCCGTCTCAGTGTTTCTCAACCTCAACCACTTTGAGATCTATGAACTTTGGAGTTGAAGTCCATACATCTTGAAGTTACTGAGGATGAGAAACAGTGTGGCGTAGGAGAAGCCTTACAATTAGAATTAGAATTCTTTATTGGCCAAGTGCGATTGGGCACCCAAGGAATTTGTCTCCAGTGCATACGTTCTCAGTGTACATTCAAGCAACAAGAGATAAACCATGATCGTAATCATAAAATGCATTCATCATAAATCATAAGATACAACACTCAGTGATAGTCATAGGATACTAAATAAGTAATCAACATAAATCATACTAGGAGTCTAAATAAAACAATATAAACTGTAAGATACAAGCAACAAAGTGATAGTCATAAGAAGATAAGGAAATAGGTAATTGGAAAGATGAGAAGGATAATAGTAATACAGCCCTACTAAGTAATTTGAACGTGTTGTGGGAATTAATTGTTTAGCAGAGTGATGGCATAGGGGGGAAAAAACTGTCCTTGTGTGTCTAGTTGTTCTGATGTGCAATGCCCTATAGCAGACATGTCAAACTTGCGACGTCACATGACGTCACGCAACGTATCAGAACTTTTCCCCCATTGATGGCAATGGGGTGGGCGCGGTTTCCTCGTGACGCATCCAGCCCGCGGGCCGACAGTTTGACATCACTGCCCTATAGCAACGTCTTGAGGGAAGAAGTTGAAACAGTTTACGTCAGGGGTCCCCAATCCCCAGTCCGTGGATCGGTACCGGGCCGCGGCATGCCTGCAACCGGTCCGCACAAACAAGCAAAGCCCCATCCGTGGGATGCAGGCAACACACAAAACCACGCACTCTCCAGTCCATGAAAAAACCTTTCTCCATGGAACCGGTTCCTGGTGCCCAAAAGGTTGGGGACCTCCGGTTTACGTACAAGATCCTCGATGGAAGGCAGGCTGGTAGCAATTGTTTTTTTCCTGTAGTTCTAACAATTTGTTAAAGTCTGTGTCTGTTTTGTTTGGTTGCAGTGCTTAAATTCAAACATGTTCTACTCTACCTCAATTTTTAGAAAAATATCCAAAGGTTTGAACCTAGTGTTTATCGGTTTCCCTCGTAATGCTTCTCATACAGTTCTAAAAAGCTGCCTCTTCCTGTCTAGGAATGCAGTAGAAATTGGTACCAATAGGAATTATTTCATAAGTGGTTCTCCATTGATGGAACACTGGATCAAATGCACTTGATCACATAAACCAGACATGTCAAACACAAGGCCTGGGGGTCGGATGCAGCTTGCGAAGTGGTTTCATGTGGCCCGCGAAGCCATCCTGGAAACAGTGAGGGAACGGCCCCTGCTGCCTTGGCCCTGGCCCAGGCCGGCCGGGAGCCAATGTACAATTTTGTGGTGGCCATCTATGCTGAAACGCATTCAGTCTTAGCTCCACAAGGCCGTCTGGAAACAGCAAGGAATCAGCCCCTGCCGTGTCGGCCCCATCCCCTGGGTGCATGCTGGGGAGGTGTCACCCTTTGTGAGGAATGAAGAAATGGACCATGCCTTGGTGCTTGCCCCGGTCCCACCCCCTTCTGCCAGAGACCCTCAGATCTGTCCCACTCCTGCCCAGACCCCACAGACACCCTTGACGCGAACGATGTCGAGCTGGCCATGCCCACCCAGTAGGCCACACCCACTCCATCCACGCCCACCCAGTAGGCTGCACCCCCCCTGAGGGCAACCGCAATGCTGATGCGGCCCTCAATGAAATTGAGTTTGACACCGCTGACATAAACTGTGATTGGACATCTTTGCTCTTATCTCAATCCTAACGTGTTGTTTTTTTCCTTCCCTGCAGTGTTCATCACGTTTGCTGCCGTCATAAGTGTGACCTCACTGGTCCTTATTTTTGGTGTCGCTCCACGGTTCGGACAGACAAATATATTGGTCTACATCTCCATCTGTTCACTGATAGGGGCTTTTTCAGTCTCTTCCGTCAAAGGCTTGGGCATCGCTATTAAGGACATGCTTTATCAGAAGCCAGTCTTCCGAAATCCACTGCTCTATGTTTTAGCAGTAATTTTGGTGCTGGCTGTTAGTACTCAAATCAACTATCTCAACAAATCTTTGGACGTGTTTAATACGTGTCTGGTCACTCCCATTTATTATGTGTGCTTCACCACCACCGTGGTGATCTGTTCCGTTATCCTCTTCAAAGAATGGAACAGCATGGAACTTGGAGATATCATTGGAACCTTGAGTGGGTTCTTCACCATAATTATTGGTATTTTTTTACTTCATGCTTTCAAAAATGTCAGCATTACCTGGAACCAGTTGGCAGCTTCTGTGAAAAAAGACCCCAATTTGCCTCTGCATGCTTATGAGTCGCCTCATATGTTATTGGAAAATATGGACACTCCCGTTTCGATATGTGATGAGGATAACACGCTGTTCAGCCGAGGAGATGAACAACAGTAGCCACCATTAAATCATCTCTCACAGCTTACAGCCAACCACAGCAATTTTCAGCCTCACTATCCCAGAATTTGGAGGAACCAAAAAGAGGACATGTCATTTGCTTTAGGGTTAGGAAAGGAAATTAGATCATTCTGGTATTTCTGCATTTCCCATCTTTGACAGCATGCAAAGGTCACCAGTAGCAGTAATACTGTTTGAGTGATGACTATAGTTGCTAATAAACTGAATTTTATATGTAATGTATTTTCTAAATCACATTTTATACTTTTACTGTTTTAAAATAAGATGTTTGCTAAGGGCTAAGTGAAGATATTTTGTGAAAACCAGGACTTTTTCTAATGACCAGCAAGTTAGTAAACTGGAAGTTTGAATTTATTCTAGTTTTCCAAGTAGGAAACATCCAAAAAGAACCACTTATCTTTTTTTTTTTAGGTGTAACTTCCAGCAACAAAGTTTAAAGTCTACTGAAGTACATTAAATGAAAATAGGGTCTTTCTATGCTAGTTAGCACCGAGTTAACTCCAGACCAAGAAATCCTTACAGCAAACTCATGAAATCTAGGAGTTAAGTTGGTGTACAACTAAACATTTCTGGAAAGCCTTTAAGTTTTATTTTCCTCATCAGTTGCTTTTAATTGTTCAGGATGATAGGTTAGCTTTTAAGACACCCACATGTATACTCACAAATGATAAAGTCTCTTCCTTTTTACAAAGAAGTATATTATGATACAGTGTTGAGATTTTTGTTATAAAAAAAAATCCATGGTGTCCTTTGTTATTTTGTGAACTGGAAAGTGACTTTGGTTGCAAGTTAATGTCTGAAGTAAAATTATCACTGCCAATAAATTTGGTTTCGAAATAGAATTCCATCTGTAAACATAGGCTTGGCTGTGTGGAGATTTTTTTAGTTATCTCTTCAGTATTTAATATTAACACAGCTGGACAAGTTTTATTAAACAAATAAACAAATTATATATTTAGCTCGCAGTAATGGATAGGTATGGACTTGGATAATACAGTCTTTTAGCTCTGAATTTTTCTTATTACATTGGTTCATTAAGAATTGGCATCTGTTCCATGATAAGGAACCGGTTAAGGAAATACAAAATTGTAATTTTTATTTTAAATGGTCATTTAACTGTATGCCTCATCTGAGAAGCATGAGCAGTGACAGTGAAGTGCCATCCAGGGGGGAAAAATGCTTTTCTGTATCTGTATATAGTTTGCTGTAACTATTTAAAAATATTTAATATTTAATTTTCTGAATGGAAAATCGTTGGAGCTTTTGATATAATATTGAAAAAAATGAATAAAAATGTTTTGAAGTGTATATTCTACTGACAGTGAACCAGTTTTTATATTTTGTATCAGCCTAATCAATCTGGAGAAACCTTTGAAAAACCATGGCCTAGGCCAGGGGTAGGCAACCTTGGCTCTTTTATGACTCATGGACTTCAACTCCCAGAATTCCTGAGCCAGCATGGCTCAGCTTGGAAACCTCTCCCTTTCCCCTTAGCATGGCTGGCTCAGGAATTCTGGGAGTTGAAGTCCACAAGTCATAAAAGAGCCAAGGTTGCCTATCCCTGGCCTAGGCCTAGGGATTCAGATAGAGATAGGTCAGGGGTAGGCAACCTTGGCTCTGATGACTCATGGACTTCAATACCCAGAATTCCTGAACCAGTTATGCCGACTCAGGAATTCTGGGAGCTGAAATCTACAAGTCATCAAAGAGCCAAAGTTGCCTACCACTGAGATAGGTCCACATAAGATTTATATGAAGAAAATATATATTTAGACAACCCAGACAAAAGCGTGAATTGATTGCTGTTGAAGACTTTTACAATTAAGCCAAAGGATAGTTTACCCTTCTTCTGTATGATGCTCCCTAAATTTTAGCTATTTCTGGGAATATCCCTTATTTTTAAGATGTTAACAAAACATAGGGCAAATTTCTGTGGTGGTGCCATTCTTAGAAGCAAAGACTACACGTGCTGCAATTTTGCAGAAAGTCTTTATGTAACGTGGTAAATAGAGTATTTCCCTCCGAAGAATATATTCTCGGCTTTAATATTTAAAAATGTGGGGCAAGGGGGTTACTGAAATCTTAACTATTAGATGTAGCTAAATAACAGCTGGGAATGGTAATATCCTTTAGCTGCTACCCCTGGCACTTAACCTCTTTTCAAATGTAATTAACTTGGATTTATGTAAGCGGCATAAATCCAGATTCCTTAGCAGTAGAATCTGGATTGTTTAGGTGAAATATCTACATGTAGGTAGGATTATGTATCCCAAAGTTGCTTTTTCACAAATCAACTGGACTTTCTTGTTTTTCTTTGAAGGCATTTCGCTTCTCATCCCAGAAGCTTCTTCAGCTATAACTAGATGGTGGGGAATGGAAAGATTTATACTCCTGCAGACAGCTGGTCATTTACATTCTTTTAGAGAGTCGTTAATGCTACCTGGAGGCTTATCTGTGTCTTCAGGGTCACCTGAATAGTACAAATGGGTGTGGAGCCTTCTTGGAACCTGTTGAAAGGACTATGTTGTAGACTGGAGATAGATGTTGTCAGATCCTTCCCCTTCTGTTGAAGAAATGTCTTCAAAGAAAAATAAGAAAGTCCAGTTGCCTTGTGAAAAAGCATCTTTGGGATAACTATGACCTGGATGACTGAGAATCTCCACACACATGTAAGATTATGTAATTTTTTTCCCCTAAACAGAACTGCAAAATAACCTTTGTTGATTTTGAACACTTTCAGGATAAAGCAAAATATCTATTTTGCTTTTTGGGTCTGCAATGCACTGTATTTAAGATGGCTTGGATGCTTCTGAAGCACTGCGTGACACAAGAAATTAAGTCCCCATGAAACTTTAGGATGAACTCTGGAATGGTCGTAATTTATGACATAGTCCAGAGGTCCCCAACCTTTTGGGCACCAGAGACCGGTTCCATGGAGAAAGGATTTTCCACAGACTGGAGAATGCGTGGTTTTTTTTGCATCCCATGGATGGGTCTTTGCTTGTTTGTGTGGACCGGTTGCTGGCATGCCTCGGCCTGGTACCGGTCCACGGACCGGGGGTTGGGGACCCCTGACATAGTGAATAATTTAGGAACTATCTTAATAATGAATGTGAATCTTTAGTTTTGCCCCACACACTCACCTGAAAATGAAAATCAGTAGTTCAACCTTTCATCACAACTTCATATTTATTATATGAAGTATATTTATTAAGACACATTTTGCTATACATTATTTCCCTGGCAGTGCAGCACGTTTTGCAATTGGTAAAACCAAAATAACAATCTGATTAAAAAAAAAACAACACTCCAGTTCGTAACAAAGTTGGGAGCTTGTTCTGTTTTTGCTAAACACCAAACTGAACGTGCAGCATACAGTAAAGGAGTCAATACGTTGTACTTTTAAATAGTGTAGGACATACTAAATTCTCACTTCATATGGAAACCTATGTGCAGTGCATATTTACAGTACATAAATGGTATTTAGAATACGTTTATTATGAATGCCGTGTTTCATAAAAGTCCTTCCGGTTTCTAGAAATTGAAAAGTTTTAAAGAGGCTTTAATAATATCACTCTTTGGTGAAGGACGATATATAGCAGATCAAATTGAAAGGGTAATTTTCTTCATTAACTTAGTAACTGCTTAAACAAGTCCCAAGTACTGGAAGGTCTTCTGAGATTCCTGTGTCCTTTCTAACATCTGTTTCGAGCCTGGCAGAGTTTTTGAGCAGCTTCTAATCCAGGAGACCTGATATTTTTGTGCAGTACTAATAATCTTCTTTGTCCCTATTTTCCTGACAAGCTACTGAGGTCTTTAGACAAGTTCTGTAGGAGACTCACAGCCTCAATTCTCCACATACCGCCTATCACTTTTATATTCACCAGTAGTCATGGCCAACCCAGTGTACACCAACCTGTGTTGGCTGGAAAGGGATGTGGCCAAACACCTCTGGAGAGCTCAACGATGGGCAAGAGTATAAACGATAATCACTTTAAATATTGTTCTTTCAAGTCAACAGCTGAATTGTCAACTTGTGCTGAATTTGGGTTATACTGTACAGTAGTTTTATCCTGCTACAAATGGCCATTTCCACCACCCCCCTCTGTAAACCACACTGGGGTCCTCTTGATAACAATATTGTTTGAATAGCCAAAGGGACTTTAAGTGTGTTGATAAAACTTCTTCCACAGACACAGGAGCAATATCCACAATTGCCTTGTCTTTCTAAGCAGCATCCAGGATTGTGTCTCTGGGAAGGATCCAGCAGCATCTCTGAAATGGTATTTCTTTATTGTGAATTCTTGCGCCTGCCAAGCTTATAGTCAGGAGGAAGAGTCTTCAGCTATACATTCAATCATATGCAGGAGATCCTGAAACGTAGGACGTCCTTCTGGTTTCTAGAAATGGGAAAGTTTTAAAAAGGCTCTAATAATTTATATTTATTTTTTCTTTTGTGACCCATAATATGCAAAGAGTCCTCCCTTAGCAATGGTTCAAAGTTACAACCAACCCTTCAAAAGCTACTTACATACACCTGCCGTCACATAACTACCTTTTGGGTGCTTAGTAACTGGCTCACTTTTATAGCCTGTTGCAGCGTTTCAGTCACATTTATAATGTTTTCTTGCTGGTTTCTCGCGTCTTTGGGCTATTTCCAGCAAAAAAACACCCCTGGGTGTTTTTATAAGAGCCATAGTGGCGCAGTGGTTAGAATGCAGTATTGCAGGCTAATTCTGCCAACTTGCCAGCAGTTCAATTCTCTTTATATCAAGGTTGACTCAATCTTCCATCCTTCTGAGGTCAGTAATATGAGGACCCAGATTGTGCGGGGCAACATGCTGACTCTGTAAATTGTTTAGAGAGGTTTGTTATTATTATTATTGATTGATTGATTGATTGATTGATTGATTGATTGATTGATTGATGGATGGATGGATGGATTGATTGATTAGCCTTTGGAATACTGCATCCAGTTTTGGTCACCACGATGTAAAAAAGATGTTGAGACTCTAGAAAGAGTGCAGAGAAGAGCAACAAAGATGATTAGGGGACTGGAGGTTAAAACATATAAGGAACGGTTGCTGGAATTGGGTATGTCTAGCTTAATGAAGAGAAGGACGAGGGGGGACATGATAGCAGTGTTCCAATATCTCAGGGGCTGCCCCAAAGAAGAGGGAGTCAAGCTATTCTCCAAAGCACCTGAAGGCAGGACAAGAAGCAATGGAGGGAAACTAATCAAGGAGAGAAGCAACCTAGAACTAAGAAGAAATTTCTTGACAGTTAGAACAATTAATCAGTGGAACAACTTGCCTGCAGATGTTGTGAATGCTCCAACATTGGAAGTTTTTAAGAAGAGACTGGATAGCCATCTGTCTGAAATGGTATAGGGGTTTCCTGCCTGAGCAGGGGGTTAGACTAGAAGATCTCCAAGGTCCCTTCCAACTCTGTTATTCTATTCCTCTTTACTTTGGCTCATTTTTTATACCAGAATACAGTAATAGGATTAATGCAAGTGAAATGCAAGATAGCATACCTCATGCCAGCACTTTACCATCAAGTCATAAATATTCTTAGAAGCTAACTTGGGTCGGAATAGTCGGTGTCCTTGGGTAATCATAGTCACCACTTCATAGTTTGTGTTCATCTCAAAGGGCATTTTCCCTTCTGTGAACACTTCCCACATGAGAACTCCTGCAAAATCAGAGAAGAGATTAGTCAAACTTCACATAAATAACTGAACTGAATTTCAATTCAAACATTCTGGGTTCTTCTCCAGGATGGTAAATGCAAACAGGTTAATAGAAATATCAATCCTAATGAAGTAAATAATCACCTTGCCCAGGGGTAGGTAACCTTGGCCCTTTTATGACTCGTGGACTTCAACTCCCAGAATTTCTGAGCCAGCATGGCTCAGCTTGGAAACCTCTCCCTTTCCCCTCAGCGTGGCTGGCTCAGGAATCCTGGGAGTTGAAGTCCACGAGTCATAAAAGAGCCAAGGTTGCCTACCCCTGACCTTGCCTAAATCTTCTAAGATTACTTAGTTTATCAGCCATAGAATGATTAGACTGATGCCTATGAAACGAGTCCAAAAAATACAACTCCACATTCACCAAGAAGTACACAGGAACCAAGAATGATTCAGAAGAGCTGCTTCATACTCACTCTTCAGCTCTTCATTAAAGCAGCGACATCTTTTTTCACACTACTGAGGCCTAAAACAAAAGTTGCTACCGTTTTAACGAATTGATTGAATGAGCTGACTTCTCAGAGGAGTTCCGTTAAGCTGTGATGAAATAGCTGGTTGCTTTCAGAAGTCATCTCATTAAAGCGATTATTAAGAGGCAGCACATTTTTCAAATGTAGCTGCTTTAATAGGTAGCAAAGAAATGTGTTCCCAGAAACATGAAGCTCTTCTTCTGAATTATCTTAAAACACACACGGCTCTTCTAAGCGCAGCACACTAAATAATGCTACAGGGAGTCCTCGACTTAACCACGGTTCTTTTAGTGACCGTTCAAAGTTACGACGGCACTGAAAAAAGTGACTTAAGACCATTTTTCACACTTACGTCCGTTGCCGCATCCTCATGCTCATGTAATCAAAATTCAGATGCTTGGCAACTGACTCATATTTACAACAGTTGTAGTGTCCCGGGTTCATGTCATCCCCTTTTGTGACCTTCTGATAAGCAAAGTCAATGGGGAAGCCAGATTCACTTAACAGCCGTGTTGCTAACTTAACAACTGTGGTAAGAAGGGTTGTAAAATGGGGCAAAATTCACTTAACAAATGCCTGACTTAGCAATGAAAATTTTGGGCTCAATGTAAGTGGAGGACTACCTGTACAGTCAAATTTGAGAACCTATCATACAAACATCTTCACCACAAAATCTTTGTGTGTGTGTGTGTGTGTGTGTGTAAAGCCAGCATTTCAAAATTAATAAACCTTTATAGCACAAGGTTATATAGCAGTAGTGGCGAACCTATGGCACGCGTGCCAGAGGCAGCACTCGGAGCCCTCTCTGTAGGCATGCACAATGTCACCCCAGCCCCACTTCCCCTTGTGGCCCCCGCCTCACCAGCAGCCCCCCGGAAGACAATCGCCCCGGGCGCGGCCTGCACAGAGCAACACAGCCAAGGAAATAGCCAGGCAGCAGGGACAAGACTCCATCCTTGCGCCCCATAGCATGCAGATGATGCTGCGGGGTGTGGGCGGAGGGCGTGGCTGCCATGACGCTGCAGGGCTGCCTGGGCAATCTGCTGTGGCGGGCCATGGAGGCAGTGCGTGGCTCTGCGGGTGGGCGGGGCACGGGGCGGGCGGGGCGGAGCAGGCAGGATGGGAGGCGGAACGGTGACAGGGGGTGGTTTTTTGGGCACTTGGTCTCTAAAAGGTTCGCCATCACTGTTATATAGTAATAGATCTATATATAGTATAGTAATAGTATAGATGTATAATAAAAGTTCTCCATAAAAACAAGTGACTGTCATTATATAAAATTTATTTACTTATCTATTTAAGTTTGTATGCTGCTCATCTCGCTATGGAGAGCAAACATTACCACCCAAACTGACTTAGGTGAGATGGGTGAAGTAGAAAAAATAAAACAAATAAAACAATCAGAACAGTTAACCAGAAACACGTGTTCTGTGATATATTTGGAAACGACTAGAAGGAAATAAAGCACAAGTTAAAAACATATTACATACAACATGTGAAACTTCTAAAAGTTAAATTTTAAGTTCTAATTTTCACTTTAAGAAATAATGTCTGGAAATCTCAACACCTAGATTTTATCCAAGATTCCCTGTATGTATTTTACCTAGAACTTTTTATTATGTAACATTAACATGAAGCATTTTTTTCATTCTATCTTAATTATATTTACTGCTTTGGCGGATTGTTTGAAGAGGCTAATGGAAGGTTTGAAAAAGTAATCCTAAGTTTATTAAAAATAAAAAAAGTTAAACCATCTTACCAAAAGACCAGACGTCAGACTTGCTGCTGAATCGGCTATAATTGAAAACTTCTGGGGGACACCACTTCACAGGAAATTTAGCACCTGAAGAGCTGGTGTATTGATCATCCAGAACATATCTAAAAGGAGAGGGGAAAAATCCTTCCACTTAAATGAGTTGCAGAGGAACCTCAGTAGTCAATTGCTTCAAAACTCATCAAATTTGGTACTCGACACGTTTTGAAATGAAAATGTTGTCCCAGTACTTGGCATTTGTTTAATACTAGACACGCTACGATAGAAAAAGGGGGACAGCTGCGGAGGTCAGGAAGCCGGCCATGCTGGGAAGGTCACTGCAAAAGGAAGGAATAGCCATAGAGTAGGGGTATCAAACTGCTGTCCCGTGGGCCGGATGCCTCATGCCGAAATCGCGCCCACCCCAGCTCCGGCAATGGGGGAAAAGTTGCAATACGTCGCGCCACGTCACATGATGTGGAGAGTTTGACACCCCTGCCATAGAGGGCAGAAAGAAAGTCAGCCATGCTGAGAAGGTCACTGCAAAAGGAGGGGATGGCCATAGAGGGCAGACAGAAAGTCAGCCATGCTGGGAAGGTTGTAGACATAGGAAAAAAAGGACAGACAGAAAGTTCTTCTGGGCTGAAACAAAGGGCCATGTGGTAAGTCACAGGGTTTGTTTGGGCCCTGTCCTTTTTAGTACTTGTCACACCTCCTGGAACCAATTAGTGCCAAGTACCATGGTAGCACTATACAAGAAACTGACACAGATAGTCCTTGAATTAGGACCATTTATAATATAATAATAATCTTTGCAGGCTCAGGCTATTTGCTGATATTCTGACTTAGTTATGTGCCCCTCTTTCCACTTTCTATACTTGTCTTTTTTTTATCTTTCAATTTATCAGAGAGTTCTTTATGCAGCCACGTTGGTCTCTTTTGAGAGCTGTTATTTTTCCTCTTTGTTGGTATTGTGCTAGACTGGGCTTTTATTATCTCACTTTTCAAAATTTCCCAAACTTCTTGAGTTGTTTTCCCCTTGAGGATTCTCATCCATGGAATCCTTCTCAAGCCCTCTCTAAGTTTATTGAAATTAGCTCTCTTAAAGTCCAAGACTTTAGTTTGACTGTGTTCTATTGCTTGTGCTTCCATAATGTTGAATTCCAATATTGCATGATCACTTCCCCCCAAGGTTCCTGTGGCTTCAACACCTTCTATCATTTCATCTCTGTTAGTGAGAATTAGATCCAAAATGGCTAATCCTCTAATTCCCTTCTCTACTTTTTGGGATTTAGCAATGGTTCGAAATTACGATGCCACTGAAGAAAGTGACTTTGACCCATCTTCAAAGTTATGCACAATCCTTGCAGTCACATGATCTCAATTGGCAACCTTCCCAGATGCCTTCGGGTAAGCAAAGCCAATGGGGGAAGCCAGATTTGCTTAATAGTAGCATGGTTTGCTTTCATTACTGCATGATTTGTTTAATGACCATGGTAAACAGGGTTGTAAGATAGGATCTGGTCATACGCTACATTGCTTATCAGCTGAAATATTAGTCCCAATTGTGATCATCAGTTGAGGACTACCTGGAATCAATATCCATGTCACTGCCTAACGGTAATGGATAAATTTCACAAATATTATTTAAAAGGACTAAGGACAGACCTAACACAGAGACTGACTCTGAACAACTCTGGATAACAGTTGGCAGCTGTTTGCATGTGAGGTAGATGAGTTAAATTTGTTATGTAAGCTACACATTATTGGGGTTTGTTTTAAGTTAAAAACACGGGCACCGCTCTACCACTTTGGAAGGTACAAATGTAAATTTAAAATAGGCCTACTTAAAAGATGTAGAGATGGACTAGTACCTTGTCATTCCAAAATCAGACACTTTCACCACTCCTGACTCATTCACTAAGCAGTTTCTAGCAGCCTAGAAAAAGAAGAAAAAAGTAAAACAGTAGTTGGATACCGATTGCATATCTTGGATGTAATTTGCTTTCTGCTTAACTTCTAACAGTTACACAAATGTACAGGTATCAGGCTCAAAAAACCCAAGAAAGATATGTTGCAAGCCTTCAAAGCAGATTTCTTTATTGTTTCTCACCATCAACAGAATCATGCCAAACTAAAGCACACTAGCACCCTAATAAAGCATGGCTGGCTAGGGAATTCTGTGAATTGAAGCCCACGCGTCTTCAAGCTGCCAAGGTTGAGAAATACAAATTGAGTGTAATGCAAACCAAGGGTCTCCAGCCTCATTTGAATTATGGGTTCTTTTCGGATTAGTGGTTCTTCTCAGGCAAGCTGCTCCCCAAGAGAAAAGTAAAAGCAATAACTAAGTTTACTGGAAAACATCCTGAAGATCATTCTAGATACTTTAATATTTAGTGTCCCCCCTTCCCGAATGGATCATGTGCTCTGTCATGCCTCCGTTTGAGCCTGAATCTGCGGAGGAAAATGAGCTGGAACGGGACCCTATGGAGACTGAGGGAGAGGTGTCTGTGGCTTCAGAGGAATGTGGGGAAGAGCAGGCCGAGGCAGGCCGGGGCCCTTCAGGATTGGGACAGGAGGAACAAGAGAGGCAGAGTTCAGGCGAGGAGCAAGGGCCACCCCACCTGATCCTAGAGCACGGAGAGTGGAGAGAAGGAGGGAACAACACAGGCAGGCTCAACTACTCAGGAGGAGAGCGTCCCACCCCTCTCCACAAGGAACACCTGGAGATTGAGATTTAAGGAGATGCTGTGGGGAGGGGCATCTGTCAGGAACAAACGCTGATTCTTGGAGTGTTGTGTATTGTTGCTGATCTCTTGTTCTGTGACTTTTGTTTGGAAACCTGGAAACTCGGACTATTGGATTGACTGACCATGTTACTTGAATGTTTAAAGACCTCGGACTGTATTTCGGATTCTTTCTTTTGAAAACTGCTCAGGCAAGCTAGGATTCAAACAGACTCGTTAAGTTTATGTTTTCTTCCTTGTTGTCTCTATGGCCTTGAGTACTTTCTTATGCTAAGCAGACTGCATTTGAACCTCCTTTCAGCCAGAGTCGGCTGAAAGGGTGTGTGTGTGTGTTCTTTTGTTGGAGGCTTGCCAGCAAACGTGGGAGCTTTTGGGGAAAAGTTGGAGCAATAAAAGAACTGTTTGACTTGCCAGCTGACTGCATTACCTCTGTGCTGTGCCCTGGGTCATCACATGCTCTTTCTATGTAGCATAAAGTCTATTGATGGAAATCCTCTGTGCCCTTCTCAAACGTTCAAAGGCAAGACTGATTTTTTAAATCAAAGGTTTGAGGTTTATCTGCCCCACTGTCACTTTCCAGCGATAGCTTCCAGGGGGCCGTCAAGGGGCTGCCTCATGTAGAACATGTTAAGTAATCCACTTGTAAGAAGATTAAGACACGAGTGGCTGTTAACGTGTGTGGAAAAGTGACCTTTTTTTGACAAGCACGCTTTGTCATTCATGGTGGAGAAAACACCAGCTTTAATTTCTCCTAGCAAGTCTGAAAGGGACACGAATCCTACTTTGCATTGCTTTTGGTCAAAACATTTCAGAAACATTATAAAAATTCAGAAGTGAAGCACTTCCTTTAGACCAGGGGTAGGCAACCTTGGCTCTTTTATGACTCATGGACTTCAACTCCCAGGATTCCTGAGCCAGCATGGCTCAGCTTGAAAACCTCTCCCTTCCCCTCAGCATGGCTGGCTCAGGAATTCTGGGAGTTGAAGTCCACGAGTCATAAAAGTGCCAAGATTGCCTACCCCTGCTTTAGACTCTGTGCTTTAAGAATGCAACAAATTTACACATGCTCATCACCTGACTTACCAAATCTCTGTGTATAAAGCTATTTCTCTCCAGATATTCCATTCCTTCAGAGACATCCTGACACATAGTCATCAGGTTATCTTTATTGAAGTGTCCACGTCTCTGGCGAAGATAATTCAGAAGGCAGCCATGCTCCATGAATTCTGTCACTATGTAGATAGGTCTCTGCTGAGTACAAACACCATATAGCTGGACCAATTTTGGATGGGTCATCTTCCTGAAAGTAGTTTAAAGAAAGAAAGAGTAAAACAGGAAACAATAGGGAAATAGAAATGGAAATATAGACCTAATTTTCTTCATGAAGTTAACTTTACCTAGAACAGTGATGGCGAACCTTTTAGAGACTGAGTGCCCAAACTGCAACCCAAAACCCACTTATGCATCGTCGAGTGCCGGGTGGGTGTGGCCCATTGGCTGGGCGTGACCCTTTGGGTGGGCGTGGCTGTGGTGGTAATGGCAGACTGGGTGGGACTAAAAAGTTCAATCAATCAATTCCAACTTTGCAAGATCTTTTTTTTTTCCCATGAGAAGTTGAAATTGACTGATTGAACCTTTTTTTTTTTGCACGCGGAGGCCTAAAGCGAAAAGGTTTTATAAAACCCAGCTGAAGGCCTAGGACTGGGGCAACGGTTTGAGTTTAGCAAATTTGAAACTTCCAAAACAGATTTTTATTTACAGTGCATCAGTCAACCCCGACTGCTCTTTAGAAGGCCAGATCCTGAAGCTGAAACTCAAATACTTTGGCCACCTAATGAGAAGGAAGGACTCCCTGGAGAAGAGCCTGATGCTGGGAAAGATGGAGGGCAATAGAAGAAGGGGACGACAGAGAATGAGGTGGCTGGATGGAGTCCCTGAAGCAGTAGGCATGAGCTTAAAGGGACTCCAGAAGATGGTAGAGGACAGGAAGGCCTGGAGGAACATTGTCCATGGGGTCGCGATGCGTCGGACACGACTTCGCAACTAACAACAACAAAGTCAACAAAACAAGGAGAAAAGTATAACAGGCTTTTGATGTTCTGACTCAGACAGTAGGTGTAAGTCTTTAAAACAAAGGGAAACAGAGCAGAGCATCTCAAGATGTTCAGGAGACATTTCTTAAGACGTTTTGCAGCCAGATTCTTCAAGAGTTTCTTAAAATAACAACCAGCACCTTTGCCAGTTACTTACATCATCACTTTAGCTTCTTCTATAAAGTCCTCTTCATACATGGCACCTTCACGGATAGCCTTGATAGCTACTTTGTACTGGGCTCTCCATTTGCCGAGTCGCACCACCCCAAAGAGACCACTCCCCAGTTCTCGCATAAAGGTGAGTTCTGCAGGGTTGATTTCCCATTTCTCTATAAAAACAAGAACAGGTGACATGAGGATGAACCTCCGAGGCAAACGGGAAGACAATTTTTATTGTCAGTATTCTTTGCCACAAGGCTCTTTTTCTTATTTCGTCTTTCTTTCAAGCTCCAAAAAACTTCTGAAGATTCAAACCAGAGGACTCTTGAAGATTCTCAAGGTTGTCATTTTTTTCCAAGAAATAATCTTTTGTCCCTCGGCAGAAATGCATATTGTGGGAAGGGACTTTCACCTTGCATGGCTAGTATTCCCAGAATAAGAACCAGAGAGAAACAGTGGCTGAAAAAACAAAGGTCTCCATCAAATTTTCTCAAGACTTGGCAGCAACTCAAGATACTTCTCAAAAACGTATCGTTTGCGGGGATCAAAGCACGCTGACTGCTGACTTCCTGACTCTGGGGCCTAATAATATTATGAAAACCTGCCAATCTTTACCTATGTAAAGACTTGAGATACTAGATACCTTCTCGGCAAAAGTGGACGAGGATAATGGATTTTGACTCAGCTAGCATGATTGTGTACAAACAGAACAATTATTAAGGTGGTTAATGGATGACTGGATAGAGCATTTTATAGAACAGGCCAGGAGGAATAGGATAGGATAGGATAGGATAGGATAGGATAGGATAGGATAGGATAGGATAAGATAAGATAGGATAGGATAAGATAAGATAAGATAAGATAGGATAGGATAGGATAGGATAGGATAGGATAGGATAGGATAGGATAGGATAAGATAAGATAAGATAAGATAAGATAAGATAAGATAAGATAAGATAAGATAACCTTTATTGTCATTTTTATACTGTGGGCACAATGGCACACATCAAAAATGAAATTTAGTTGCCCGCTCTCAAAGTGAAACATATACATGACACACACCTAAACATGCTATGAACAACATATGTATAGACCCACATCCCTACATATACGTAGCAAATAAATATTAAATACTGTCCATCTTGAATATATATAACGGAAGGGGGAAGCTTAAGGTTAATGCTGTATGGAATGAAACTCTGGCTGAATCTGGGTGTTCTGCTTCGGATACCACAAAGCATAGAATAGAATAGAGTAGAGTAGAGTAGAGTAGAGTAGAGTAGAGTAGAGTAGAGTAGAGTAGAGTAGAGTAGAGTAGAGTGTAGAGTGTAGAGTGTAGAGTGTAGAGTGTAGTGTAGTGTAGTCTAGTGTAGAGTAGAGTAGAATTGGAAGGGACCTTGGAGGTCTTCTAGTCCCTCTCCCTGCTCCAGCAGGAAGACCTATACCATCTCAGACAGGTAATTGTCCAGTCTCTTTTTAAAAACTTCCAGTGAAGGGGAAGGGAAGGGAAGGGAAGGGGAAGGGGAAGGGGAAAGGGAAAAGGAAGGAAGGGAAAGGGAAGGGGAAGGCCCATATACTTGCATAACTAACATGGATTGTACTATTTGGTAAAGTACTGGTAGTCCTCAACTTATAACAGTTTGTTTAGTGACCGTTTGAAGTTACAACGACACTGAAAAAAAGTGACTTAGGACCTTTTTCACACTTATGATTGTTGCTGCATTCCCAAGGTCATGTGATTTACATTCAGAGGCTTGGCAACTGACTCATATTTATGACGGTCGCAGTATGCCGGGGTTACGTGATCCCTTTTTGCGATCTTCTGTCAAGGAAAGTCAACCGGGGAAGCTTGATCCACTTTAACAACCGTCTTATTAACTTAACAAAAGCAGCAGTCCATTGAACAAATGGGGCAAGAAAAGTCGTAAAAATGGGGCAAAACTCACTTAACAAATTTTTCATTTAGCAACATACATTTTGGGCTTAATTCTGGTCATAAGTTGAGGACTACCTGTATACTAAAAATGCATTAATATATATATTAATATATATATTAGTAAGGCTATAGGTCAGTGATGGCGAACCTTTTACAGACCGAGTGCCCAAACTGCAACCCAAAACCCACTTATGCATCGTCGGGTGCCGGGTGGGTGTGGCCCATTGGGTGGGTGTGGCCCATTGGGTGGGTGTGGCTGCGGTGGTAATGGCAGACTGGGTGGGACTAAAAAGTTCAATCAATCAATTTCAACTTTGCAAGATCTTTTTTTTTCCCACGAGAAGTTGAAATTGACTGATTGAACCTTTTTTTTTTTTTTACACGGCGGCGGAGGCCTAAAGCGAAAAGGTTTTATAAAACCCAGCTGAAGGCCTAGGACTGGGGCGACGGCGCACGTGCCCACAGACCGGGCTCTGAGTGTCGCCTCTGGCACCCGTGCCATAGGTTCGCCACCACTGCTATAGTTGGTAAGATTTTCTGCAAAATTGACATCAACCGACTCATTAGAAAGTTGAGAGGAAATAAATATATTTCAGTTCTTTGTTCATCTACAAAATCAGTCATATTTTCATACAGAAACACAAATGTACCATAGCTGAATCCAGCAGTAGTTGGTGAAGGTTTCACTTTTGGAGTCACTGGATATCGTAGCCTCGTTACAAGCCCTAAGATTCACAGAAAATTCATATGGTGAATAAGTGACTTTGGAAATTAAGAAAGACAAACAATACTTTCTGGTGTTTTAACGTTAATTATGTTATTTTCTTCTAGCATCATTCATATAGACTACAAAATAACTTTAAGCATACTAAGCATTTTCTTGATAGCTTTCAGAAACATTTCAGTATAAGAATTTATAGCTATCAGCATCTTAGAAAATTAGAATTATTCTAATTCAGCCTGCAAGGATGAATTAAATAGTTTTCTATAAAAATTTGGAATTTCTAAGCATCGCATAGGACAGAAGCACGGGTGAGGTAGAGCTTATTTGAATAATGTATTTTCTTGAATCATATTAAAACCATTAAGCATCTTCAAAAGACCTTGAAATTTAATAGTTTGGAGTTAAAAAGTACAAATTAAACGACAGAAAACTCAAAGTCATTTACCTGCAGCGTTGTGTTTATGATAGTCAATTAACTCTGGAATGGAGTCAAACAGATGCTTTTCTGCCAAATAATACTGCTTTTGTGATGTCATTGTTTCTTTTATATGGTAGTGTCTTATGCCAGATAGCCCTTCTCTAAAAAAAACACAACAATGTAGAAATTAAAAGATTTTCACTGAAAACGTTTCGCTGAATAAACTTATGCTGTTATCTAACTAACAAAATATTTTATTTAATTTTAGAGATTTATAACAGGTATCCCTACCTCCGGGGCGTGGACCGGCAACGGTCCTGTGGTGCGCCCGAAACTGGGCCACGCAAACGAGCGAAGCCCCATCCGTGCATGTGCAGGATGCAGCCAGCACACAAAACCATGCCCCTTCCATAGAATGTCTCTTCATGGAATCAGTCCCAGATGCCAAAAAGGTTGGGAGCCACTGATCTATAATAGTTTGCCCTTCAGTGGTCTTAACTACAAGAAATGTGAAATGGTATAGGGTTTCCTGCCTGAGCAGGAGGTTGGACTAGATGACCTCCAAGGTCCCTTCCAACTTTTTTATTACTATTATTATTATTATTATTATTATTATTATTATTATTATTATTATTATTATTATTATTAT